TCCCATAAGACCATATTTTGCTTGGGCCACTGCAAGGGGCTGTGTCTGCAGAGAAGCTATGGCCGTTGATGTCCAGTGAGGCATCCTCCAAGGAGCAACGACTGTGCTGTGACTCCACAAGGCATGGATGAGGTTTTCTCAGGGCTGCAATTCTGAGGCTCTTCCAACTCCATTTTCCTTCCTCCTCTCCTTAATCTTTCACTCTGCTGTCCTTAGGATATTGTGCATCTCCTTATGGTTAAGGCTCAGCTCAGTTTCTAGTGCATGCTGGACTAAATCGTGAGGAAGAGGAAAGTCCAAGACAAGCAGCATCGTGAAGTTGAAGCTGCACAAATCACTGGCAAAAGGTCAGTCACTTGATGACACCTGTGTACAGGGAAGGCTAAAAATGTCCCTAGCTTGGGGGCACGAATCCAGGAAAAAGGGAGAACACATATGGGTGAATAACTGGGACTTTATCACAGTGAACAGTGGAGAAACCAGAGGCAGAGTGTCCTTTCACTTTATCACGTGAACAGTGGAGAAACCAGAGGGATAGTGTCCTTTCACTTTATCACGTGAACAGTGGAGAAACCAGAGGCATAGTGTCCTTTCACTTTATCACGTGAACAGTGGAGAAACCAGAGGCATAGTGTCCTTTCACTTTATCACGTGAACAGTGGAGAAACCAGAGGCAGAATCTCCTTCTCCCTCCCCAGTCCCATGGCTTCCTTTCCCACGCACCTCATACAAACAAAACAGGTTTTCATCACTGACACAAGCCCTGTTCAAAACAAAGCAGGCCCTACCACAGCCCAGAACTTTTCTATCAGTGAAACAAGCCCTGTTCAAACCAAGGCAGGCCCTACCACAGCCCAGAAGTTGATTTCTTTCTTTCTTTTCTTGAGACATGGTCTCGCTATGTAGCTCTGACTGTCCTGGAACTCACTACAGAGACCCTGCTGGCCTTGAACACTCAGAGATCTGCCTCCTCCCGAGTTCTGGGACTAAAGGTTTGCACCCAACTACTTCAGAAGTTGATTTCTAATCCTGAGACTGCAGACTACACTCTCCAGCACCTTGATTTTGTCTTCTTGCTCAATTGCCAACAGAGAAATACTGGAGTCCTTATATATAAATTGTAATTATATATAATTATGTATATATATATTTCCCCTTAAATTTTATTTTAATTGTTTATTTTTGTATATGTTCATGTGCTCACATGTGGAAGTCAGAGAACAAGTTGAGGAAGTTAATTTTCTCCCAACACCATATGGGTCCCAGGGATTGAACTCAGATCTTCAGGTTTGGAGACAAGTGCCTTTATGCACTCAGCCATCTGCCTGGCCTCTCCTCTCTTGGTGTTTGCTTTTTATACTTTGTAGCTGTTGTTGTATTTAGGATTAGCACTTTCTGAATTGATTACACACACACACACACACACACACACACACACACACACACACGTTTTTCTGTATAGCTTTGGCTTGGAACTTGCTTCATAGACCAGGCTGGCCCCAAACTCAGAGATCTGCCTGCCTCTGTCTCCTGAGTGCTGGGATTAAAGATGTGCATCACCACTGCCTGGCATGAATTAACTCATCACTATATAATGCTTTTCTTTGTAATCATTTGTGATAGGTAGGATAATGGCCCTTAAAGAGGTCATCAACTCAATGTCCAGAACTTGTAAGTTAGACTGAAATGGTGGAATTAAGTCTGCAGGTGGAATTAAAGATATTAAACAGCTGACATTGAATGGTCCCAATGTAACTAAAAAAGTATTGTTATTTATTTCAATGCTTATTTTCTTGAGACAGGGTCTCACTATGTAGACTTGTTGAGCTTGGATCTCATTCCTAGACCAGGCTGACCTTGAATGCATAGAGATCTGCCTGCCTGCCTTTGCCTCCCAAGTGCCAGGACTAAAGATGTGTACCACAATGCCTAGGGCCCTATTGTTATTTTACTTTGTTTTTGCTGCTATTTATTTGTTGTTTGTTTTGTAAAAGAGAGAGGCAAGTAAGAAAATGAAATTCTGGGCTGGAGAGATGGCTCAGAGGTTAAGAGCACTGACAGTTCTTCCTGAGGTACCAAGTTCAATTCCCAGCAACCACAAGGTGGCTCACAACCATCTGTAATGAGATCTGGTGCCCTCTTCTGGCCTGGAGGTATACATGCAGACAGAACACTGTATACATAATAAATAAATAAATCTTAAAAAAAAAAAGAAAATGAAACTCTGAAAAAAATATAAAGATGGAATCGGTGGATGAGATGATTGCCAGCTTCAAAAACACTGTGGGCCAAGGAACGCAGGCAGCTCCTGACAACTGCAAAGGGTAATGAAGCTGACCCCTACCCCCAAGGGCTTCCGTTGTCCATTCCCTTTGCAGCAGGCTGACTGCCCTTCTACAGCAGGCTGACTGCCCTTCCTTCTACAGCAGGCTGACTGCCCTTCTACAGCAGGCTGACTGCCCTTCTACAGCGACCTTTTCAGAGACTCTGTTTAGCCTTGAACTTTGTGCTGAATATCAAAATGGGAAGTTTGTCCCCAGAATTTTCTTTCAGTCAACAGAATGTAAATGATTGAAACACATCTTCCAGGTGATCGTGATGCTTAGGCAACGAGATACGATAGGAAGTCAGCATTTTATGAATAATATGCCTGTACAAATTTGCGTTCTGGGTTAAAAATGTAGGGCAGACTGTCAGTGTACCAAGACACTGATGACTAATCATTTTCTGTTTCCCATGTCTGCCAAGCAAATTTATAAACTGGACCAGTATCTTAAGGCAGATACCTTTTTTTTTTTTTTTTGGAACCAGAGTCTACCATGTAGAATGGCCTAGAACTAACTCTATAAACCATGCTAGCCTTGAACTCATAGAGCTCTGCCTGCCTCTGCCTCCTGAGTGCCAAATAATTTTGAAATCAGAACCAGATGGTTTTATGTCTATAACTTCTCTTTCTCCCCATAGACTGAGCTACCAGTGCCTTCCCCTCTGATGCCTTCTAATCTAAGCACTGACAGTAAACACTAATCCACACTGGCAACCCTCCCTCCACTCTGGATGATGCTCCTACGGGAAACATTCCTGTTTCCAGAACCATCCTCTTCGTTGTTATAGAGATTTTGATTCAGTTCTCTCCCAACTGCAGGCTTGTCTTTCTAGTATATTCTTCCAAACCTTTCTAGATGTCCTAGACACAGAGGTTTTCTCTCTTTCCCTGGGCATTTCAGTCACCTTTCTCCAACTCTTTGAAGTCTACCATCTTTCTCTGGGTTACATCATGTACTCCACATGTTACACTTGTTGATATTCATGCTATTATTTCTATGGAGACTACAAGTATAATTCTACAGGGCGATGAGTGTGCCTTAAAGTCCCTGACTTAAGCCAACCCAATCTACATATAGCCCTGGAGACACTGGGCTTAGCTAATATCATTCAAAAAAGGGGATGGACAGATTTGATCCCTTCCTGCCCACTGCAAGCAGCTGGCTCCTGTCCCTCTACTTTGTTCTGGAGGTGGAGTTCTGGCAAAGCTCTTCTCAGAGAGTAAGGAGCAGGGATACTGGCTGCCTGCTTGCTTGGACACACAGAGTAGCCTTTTCCCCTTTCTTTCTTTCTTTCTTTCTTTCTTTCTTTCTTTCTTTCTTTTTTTTGGTTTTACGAGACAGGGTTTCTCTGTATAGTTTTAGAGGCTATCGGTCCAGCCCGGCCTCTGCCTCCGGAGTGCTGGGATTAAAGGCGTGTGCCACCACCGCCCGGCCCTTTGCCCCTTTCTTAGAAAGAAATTTGTCAGATCATCAGAGGCCGGGGCAGGCAGTCCTCTTTCAGGGAGAGCTGAAAGTGTGATTCTAGCCATGAATTCATTTCCAATGCTTCTTTCTGGGGGTGCATGCTTTTTGTTTGTCTTTTTAGATAATCCATATGTTGGATCATACTTTAGGAGAATGGTCTCCAGATACTTTGAGTTTTCTTTCCTTGACCAGGAAGAATTTTATGGAAAGATCAGTGTTACTTAACACGTGACCACATAAGGCTACTCAAAAACTGTGTTCCATCTGGATGCCTTGACAGCAGTGTGAGAGTGTGAGTACAATACATATATACACAAAATGGGAGTAAAATAGTCTCTATTCCCCAGAAACAGATCAAAAAAGAAAAGTCAGGAATTAATTGCACTTACGAATATTTTTAAAAGGAGCAGTGATGATAGAAGGTCAACAGAAACTAGGTCAATTGTCACTAGGGGGTGGCCCTTGCACTGGCATAGGCTCAGGCTGGCAATGTAAGTTAATAAAAGGTAACTGGGCATGGTGGGACATGCCTTTGATTCCAGCTATTTGGGAACTGGGTCAGGAGGACTGCAGGGTTCATGTGGTTGTAGACCATGACCCTATTTAAACTAAACTTTAAAAACAAGTTTGGGTCTGTAAGTTCGAGACCAGCCTGGACTACCAAGTGAGTTCCAGGACAGCCTCCAAAGCCACAGAGAAACCCTGTCTCGAAAAACCAAAACAAACAAACAAACAAAAACAAGTTTGGGGGTTAGCAAGATGTCTCTGTTGGTGTAGGAGCCTCCTGTTGACAGCCTGCCAGGCTGACAGCCTGAACTCAATCCCCAGGACCCACACGGTGGAAGGTGAGAACTAACTCTATGGCAGGCCTGAGTTAGTTCCCTGACTCATTCTCATTGTCCCCTGACTGCCACAGAAGAGACCCACGGGGTAGAGGGAGAGAAGAGAACTGACTCCTGCATGTTTCTCTCTTTCTCTCTCTCTCTCTCTCTCTCTCTCTCTCTCTCTCTCTCTCTCTCTCTCTCTCTCACACACACGCACACACACTAAATACATGTAATGCGAAAAGAAAAAGGAAGCTGTGCAAATAGTCAAATACCTGTTTCCGAATATTTTTGTTTCATTTTATCTTTTTTATCTTAAAACTCGGGTCTTCCTGTTTAACTTTTATTCTTCAGATAAACTTGAAAAAGTTTCAAAAGAAAAGATTCGTTAACATTTGCCTTATTTTCAGCGATGGAACAAAATACAACATTTATATTTCATGTCACATAGCTGCCTCTGTCACCCTTCTGTGGTGTGTGGGTCTGCACGAGGGTGTGTCTTCTGTGTCAGTAGTGTGGGAAATCCAGTGAGAGAGAAGTCTGGGAGGGGCATAGAGGGGGAGGCCCTTTCTCTCCCATTGATAACAGGTTCATTCACAGAGAACCGTTTAAAACAGATTAATCCCTTATGCAGCCATTCGCTCTACTCTAATAGGATCCCTCCACCTCTTCCAGAATTCGGTAAGCTAAAAGTGCATGCGTCCCTACGATTAACCTGAAATTATTTTGTAAACAATTTTGTGGGGGGTGGCTGGGTGATAATTAAACGTCATTTTCCTATATCAATGAACTTTTCAAAAACGATCCCTTAAAACGTAAGTTGCTCCCCTAGGACAACTCTTTAGAGGGGCTCCTCGCAGCTGAGAACATTGGTTTCCAGAAAGAACGGTCAGGGGAGTTGGCAGGTTCCTGTGCCCAGGGAGAGGGCTGCGTGGGACTCATCCGTAGCCTTCATCCACAGATCCGAGGATGCTTCTCGCCGTGTGCCGCCTGCACTGAAGCCCCAGGAACCCCAAAAGAGTGGGATGGCCAGAGCGTGCAGGAGACCTCCGAGACCGCGGGTGTCCCCTTTGCCGCTGAGACTGCTGCTTCTGCTGCTGGGATGCTGCCTCCTCGTGGCCGCCGGGAAGGACAAGGGGGCGGCAGGTAGGAAGGCTGCCCCGGCCTCGGGTTCCACGGGCGGTTCCTCGGGTCGCTTCGTGAGCCCAGAGCAGCACGCGTGCAGCTGGCAGCTCTTGGTGCCCGCCCCGGGAACGCCGACAGGCGGCGAGCTGGCGCTGCGCTGCAAGGCTCCGAGCGGAGCTAGCCTGCACTGCGCCTACCGCGGGCATCCCGAGCGCTGCGCGACCTCCGGAACCCGGCGCTCGCACTACTGGAGGCGGCTGCTGGGAGCGCTGCGCAGGAGACCCCGACCCTGCCTGGACCCCGCGCCGCTGCCACCGCGCCTGTGCGCCCACAAGAAGGCGGTCGCCGAGCTGCACCCGCCGACTCGCCCTACCCTGTCTGTGAGTCCCGCCGAGCAACTCCGTCCCAGAGCGCAGAGCCGGGCCCGGCCGCGACAGCCGATGTGGTCCTCGAGCTCACCGCCCGAGGAGAAGTCCTCGAGGGCTAAGACCAGCGCGGGCAGGAGGAAGGCGGGTTCGGATCCGGTCCCGAAGCCTCCCGCGGTGGCCGGGCTCCAGCCGGACGGGCTGGACCAGAACGCGGAGCTCACTGAGACCTACTGCGCCGAGAAGTGGCACTCCCTCTGCAACTTCTTTGTCAATTTCTGGAATGGCTGAGGTTGCGGGCCTGGCGGGGGCACTAGGGGCAGGTGCAGCGCAGCCGGGGCGGGAGGCTCCGGGCATCTCAGAGTGTGGGGATCGGGATGGAGTAGGCAGCATTCCGGATTCCAAAATGGGTCAGGGGTCAGGGTGGGGAGAATCTGAGACAGCATCTCAATTCTGATTTAAGAGCAGAAGAAATAGTGGAAACGGATAGGCTTATGTCAAGTTTGCAAAAAGTGTAGGCTAGGGAGAGAAGCTGAGAATAGGGAATGAGTGACTAAAGACGTGCCAATCTCTCCTGTAAGTGGGAGGCAGTGAATATTAACACATTGTAATTAAAATGTAACTGAGTAAGAGCCTGAGCCAGGCTGAACTGTTCAAAGTCTTCTTGGCTGTTCAGCTGACAAGATGGCTAATTTTTCTCCCCACCCTCTTTTCTGGATTGCTATGAACGCTGGGTGTGACAGTATTACACTTTCTATGTGGTTTGAAGCCTTACGGGTAAAAAAATAAACCCATGAATGGATTATCAGGACAATTGCTTTTCCGTTCCTTTAGCATTGCTACTTTTTAACCGAATTTTAGTACATTAACTACCTAAAATCAGAAGTGAATTTTAGAAGTTCAGTGCTCAAATACAAACAAAAATCCCCGAGCCTTTATATCTGATCACTCTTTTAAAACTCGGATAAAATGTAGACAGTTGTTTGGGCCCTTATCTCCTGCATAATAAAATTTATTTTTTTCATTTTTAATATGATCATCTTTAATAAAAACTGTCTGAACTTAAAGAATTATGAATTCATGGAAATTCTGCTTTTGTGTGTGTGTGTGTTGGAGACTCATTTTCTCAAGACATGATACCTCAGACTTCCAAGTTCTGGGTATACAGATGATCCACTATGACCAACTTGAATTAAGTTCTTAAATACAATTTGAATTGTTGGGAAAATAAACTGAAAAAAATGTGTATAAAGCAAGAGCCACCAACCGGCAGCTGCTGGGAAGTGCATTGTCCAGCTTGGATATCACCAAGCACTCTCCCTCCCCCCTCCCTACTTCCCTCCCTCCCTCCCTCCCTGCTTCCCTCCCTCCCTCCTTTCCTCCCTCCATCTCTCTTTCATTCCTTTCTCCTTTCTCTCCTACCCCATTTCCTTCTCCTCTTTCCTCCAATTTGGAATAGCTGTCAGCATTTTAAGATGAAATAATTTCATATAGAACCCCCCACCCAAAGTTCTGGTTTTCTTGAAACAAAAGCAGATCTGGTGACACTGGACCTGTCTTCCCACATGGTAACAACTTTCTGGCTGTCAGCTGCCTCTCTTGGAATTAAGTGTGTTTTCTAGAGTTCTTATTCATTCCAATGCATCAATCAACTTTATTAGTTTGTGTGTGTGTGCAGGTCAGAGAAAAACCCTCTACTTAATGAGTCCCAGGGATCCAAGTCAGTTTGTGGGGCTCCGTGGGGAGCGCCTTTACCTACTGAGTCCTTGAGGCCCCATCATTTTTGGTTTTTTGTATCACTCAGTTCCTCTGTTCTCTATTTTCATCAGTACATCCAAGGGTGGGTATTTTGGTTTTTAACTATTTGTAGGTGTGAAAAATTAGTTCTAGGTGTCTTTCAAAACTTACAGGTTCTAAACAGAGCTATTTGTTTCGAAGTCAGAAAGTAATACAAACTCAAATGGTATAATATTAAGTATTAACCTGTTCTTGTATGCTTTTGTAGCTGAGGGGTAGACTTTGGGTCTAGTTAGTTTTGCTGTGTGATTTTTTTTTAATTTACAAGTTTCTATGATAAACTTTATAAAATGAAAGAGTTTTTCATCATTTATTATTTATTTGCTCAAACGCTGCAACACACTTGTGGAGGCCAGAAGACAAGTTTCAGAAGTCTATTCTCTCCTCTCAGTGTGTGGGTCTCAAGGACTGAAGGATTAAACTGTGACGATCAGGCTGGGCAGCAAGCGCCTTCACTGGCTGAGCCGTCTAGAAACAGGGCCTCATGTACCCAAGCTGGCCTTGAGCTCATTGTGTTTCTGACTGTGACTTTGTATTTTAAGCTTTGGGAGTTTATATTCACTCCCTTTCACCCCATATTATATATAATCTTTATTTTTTAAAGAGTTTATTGACAAGGGGTTGGTGAGGCCCATGTAAATGTAGAAAGAGAAGACTGAGTCCACCAAGCTGTCCTGTGATCTGTGTTCAGTCACAGTGACACATGTCCTTCCCATACACACACTAATAATAAAAGTGGTTTTTGGCTTTATTGTGTTAAAGCACCTAACCCTCCAGGTCATGTGATGTTGCTCAACAGTAGAGGACTTGCTTAGGGTGCCCAAGGCCCTCAGGTCTCTCCTCAGTGCTGAAAGATATTTATTCCCTAATCTAATTTTGGTATTAGTTATACTAGTCAGATTTTTAATAAAAACAAATTGGTACCTAAGGCATTAAGAAACACAACATCCAAACGGGAACGCTAACAAAAGTTTTGTAATTATCAGTAGATAATTAATGAACTTCACAGATGGAAACCGTTTCTAAATTTCTTTCTCAGAAAAATATTGTCACAGGTAAAGTACCAGAAGTAGCCACCGTTTTTTTCTGTTGCTCTGGTATTATCCAGGGCTGAAGAACATTGGAATAGAGTTTTTCATCTAACGAGTGCCATCTTGTGGCCTTGTGGTCGAGTTACACTAAAATTACTAAACTACTGAGCTAGATCCAGACTGAGCTTTGTTGTCTGTCAGAGGCACTGCTCCAAGAAGGAAAAGGAAGCGCAGGGATGTGCTACACACATCAGAAAAGGCGAGGGGAGTTAACAACCATGGTAAGCGAGGCAGAGCACAAGCAGCCTGCTGGCTCATGCTTGTAATTCCAACAACCTAAACGCTGAGGCGGGAGAGTCAGACACTCAAGGTAGCACAGTGAGACCCAGGCCAGCCTGAGGTACAATAAGACCCTGTCTCAAAAACAAAGACAGAAAGAAACCATAACATATAACTTAGCAGTTTTGAGGGGCTGGAGTGAAAAAAAACTTTACTGCTCTTTCAGAGAACTGGAATTTGGCTCTCAGAATCCTTATCAGGTAGCTCTTAGCCAGCTGTTACTCCAGCTCTGGGTGGTCCATCACCCTCTTCTGTCCTTCATGGGAATCTGTGCTCTCATGTACCTACTGCCACAGGAATGCACACACATGAATGAAAAATAAAAATAAATCTTTCCAAGGGAGGTCCAATCCCAGAAGTCCTCCTTCCTCCAGGACTACAGCTTGACTGTTCCAGGTCCCTCTTGGCTGAGCCCACTGCCGGGGGTGAGGTATGGGAAGGCCTGCATCGCCATTCTTTTCTATTCTGTAGCTCTGGAGGAGCATGTTCTCGAGTGTTTGCATTTCACATGTGAGCACAGGCGTTTTTATTATTTTCTTCCGCTAATACCATTCCATCATCTCATTGTTTCCTTCCTAACCCTGACCTTCTTCCCTCTCCTTCCAACTGCATTTTAGCTGCCTCTTAAAAGGAAAGAGGTTGCAGGACTGGAGGAGCCTGTTGAGTCCTATCTAAAGACCTGTCCCCAGTCCAGCAGTCCCCGACTTGCTGCAGTCCCCCCAATATCTGATGGCAAAGGTTGGAGGTGTAGGGTCTGGTCTGGCCCTGCCTGGCCCCTATACCTTAGCCCTGGTGGTCAAGCAGAGGAGCATCTATACTCCCTAATAAACACAAGCACCTTAGTTGTAACCCCTCCCCCCCCAGTCACAGATTCCAAAGCACAGTCTCCTGGTAACTTGGCAAGTGGTGGAGCCTGCCAAGGTGAGGGTCTTGTAAGGGAGCAGCTTTCTGGTACTGAGAGGTCTTGCAGCACAAAGCCCATCAGTGCCAAGAACCTCAAGAGGTGGCTCTGGCTCCTGGGACCGAGGGGAGATGGTGTCAAGCCAGGAGAGCAAACTAACTCACCAGGAGAGTTGTGTCTTATCCCATGAGCCATCCCTGTGTCCCTCCCTTAGTGGTCTGCTGCTTGTCCTGTCCTGCCCTCCTGAGCTGCACAGTAGGAGGGTGTGAGAAAATAGCCCACCTAGCAGGGAAGCCCAGTGGTTGCCCTCACATCCATCCATGCCTCTGTCACAGGATCAGCCCTCCCGAGGACTCATGTGAAAGGCCAATGCCCTCACCGCCCAGAGCCAAGCTCCCACCCTTCCTGGCCCACAAGGTAGATTGCACATTAACTACTCTATGGGGAGGATCAGTGATGGGAAATGTGAACCCTGGGAGTAAGTGATGCTGAGAGTAAATGAGAAAAAATAATTACCATCTCAGCCACTTAAAAGTGTATAGTTCATCAACAGTGAGAACATCTACGCCTGCGCAGTCATTGTCACATCCATCTCCAGAGCTTTCTTCCCTTGTCCAAATAAAAGTTTGTCTCTCTGGGGCTGGAGGCATCGATGCCTCAGAGGCTGAGAGTTCTTACTGCTCTTCCAGAGTTCAGCTCCCAGCACCACATCCAGTGCTCTAACAACATCCTCTGTTGGCCTCTCTGCATCCACCTACATAGCATATTCATGCAAATACACATACGTTAAATAAAAATAATAAAACTAAATAGTAAAAGTTTGTCTCCATTAAACAATAACTCTTGTCTTTCACCATCCCTTGACAACCATGATTCTATTTTCTGTCTCTATGAACGTAGCCATCTAACAAAGTAAAACCATTTATCCTTTTAAAAGAGGCTTACTCCACTTGAAATGATATCCTCCAGATATCAGTTACATTGTCACATGTCTCTAGATTTAAATAATATACCATTGTATCTGCATACACATTTTGCTTATTCACTCATCTGCTGATATACACTTGAATGTTTATATTTTTCAGCTATTATCAACAATGCTGCTATGACACTGGCTCACAAATATCTGATCAAGTTCCTGCTTTTAATTAAGTTCCATTTCTAATTTTTTCTTTCTTTCTTTTTTTTTTTTTTTTTTTGGTTTTTCGAGACAGGGTTTCTCTGGAGGCTGTCCTGGAACTAGCTCTTGTAGACCAGGCTGGTCTCAAACTCACAGAGATCCGCCTGCCTCTGCCTCCCAAGTGCTGGGATTAAAGGCGTGTGCCACCACCTCCCAGCAATATTTTATAAGATATGTGATTTGGAAATATTCCCTTCCATTCTGTGGAATGGAATGTTTTCACTGCTAGTAATGTTCTGAGGGGCTGGAGAGATGGCTTAGTGGTTAGGAGCACTGACTTTTTCCAGAGGACCTGGGTTCAAGTCCCAGCACCCTCATGGCAGCTCACAACTGTCTGTAACTCCAATTCCAAGGGAACCTGGCACCCTCACACAGACATACATGCAGGCAAAACACCAACGCACATAAAATAAAAATACATAAAATTTGGTAGTGGTGCAAACCTTTAATCCCAGCACTTGGGAAGTAGAGGCAGATGGATCTCTGTAAGTTCTAGGCCAGCCTGATCTACAGAGTTCCAGGACAGCTAGGGCTGTTACATAGAGAAACCCTGTCTTGAAAAATAAAAACAAAAAGTATAATGTTCTAAGGTACAGAAACATTTTTTTTTTATTTTAAGAGACAGGGTTTCTCTGTATTGTTTTGGAGTCTGTCGGACCAGCCCAGCCTCGATACAGAAACATTTTTAACTTTGATGGAGTTCAAGGCAAACATCATTCCCAAATATCATGACAGGAGTAGGAAAACATGAAGGACATATCTTTTTTCCCCCTCTTTTTCTTGTATGGGTGCTCTGTCTGCATGAATGTCTGAAGAGGG